AAGAACTTCATCTTGTCTGTCTCTGTAGTGTAAGTACTCCTATGTCTTGCTGCAGAAATGCTAATGATTATGGGGGTACTGACAGGAAGTATGTACTTCTTTTGGGGGGGTTGAAAGGGATACAGGGTCTCACTATGATATATTTATTGCCTTGGCTTCCCTTGAACTCCTGGGCAGTTGGGACCACAGGCAGGCACCACCACACTCAGCTCTTGTATGTCCGTACTTCCAACACTGCCTCCACCTTGGAGAGCTTCCAAGACCTTCTGTGGGTGCTCTCATGACAAGCATACTCACATACAGCATCCAAATTCATTTGGCAAAGACTGTCTGTCTACAAATTCACTTGGTTCATATGGAGGAGGAAAGAGAAAGAGGCCTGCACTCTTTCATTTCATACAAGCCTGCCAATTTGCTGGAGAAGAAAGACAATAAATGACAGAGTACTCTGGAGGCAGAACAGTTAGGACCTGGTGACCTAAGCTGGGGGATGAAGAATGGTTAAGAGGATGGGTTCCGGGTTCCAGTGTATGTGTCAGTAGTCCTAGTTATTGAAATAAGAGGGAGGTAGACGACATTCTCAGGAGAAGGGCAAGATTCTGGTAAGGTAAGGTTTTGTGTGTGTTTGTTGTTAAGTTTTCTGCCGGTGAAAAATCCAAGCTTGTGTAACCAGGCGAGCAGCTGAATGTATGGCATGTGGCTCAGAAGACAGGTCTCAGCTATTGATAGAAACCTAGCAAAACAGATGGCAGGTATTTGAAGTTAAAGGAATGGGTCCTGTCCCTGGAGTATGTGTAAACAGAAAGAAAGGCTGTGAGGAGCATGTGTGCCTAGGGGTGAGGCAGGATGGGGACCTTGAAGAGATGATCGAGGTAAAAAGGGGTCTGAGAGAAAGAAAAAATACGAGTATGTTGTGGGCCATGCAAGCGAAGCAGAAATCATTTTAAGCAGGAAGCCAATTAGGTCAAGGCAGCAAGAGTCTTGTAAACATGACAACAGAATGTGCCTACCCAGATTTGCCAGTACAGGTATCACTGCTGAGCCTAACCACAATTTCAGTGGTTGGTTTGGGGAGTAAAAACCAGACTGGAATAAGCTGAATATAAGGTGGTAAAAGTAAAGGACTAGAGATGATTCTTTTGGAAAATGTTGAAATGGCAAATAAAGTTAGCCAGGTGTAATGGCACACTCCTGTGATCCCACCACTCTGGGAGGCTGAGGCAGGAGGATAGCCAGTTTGAGCCCAACCTGGGCAACCCGGTGACTTAGCGAGACTTTGTCTCAGAAATTTGAAAAAAAGACTGGGATGTAGCTTAGTATAAAGGCCCTGGGTTCAATTCCCTATATTGCCCAAAAGGGGCAGACTACCATAATGCCCTGAAAGGAATTTGGATATGGAGTAAATAATGATTTGGACACAAAATTACTAGATTTCATGCAGCCATTAGCAATTCCTTAAAGTTTGAGATGGTTACATTTTATTACAATGTAATAAGCCAGTTTATACTGTGAATGCAGTAAACAATAAGAGAGTCTGGTGTTTTACACAGGGTAAACGCTTAACAAATATTTGCTTCTAGAGGCTGTTAATATTTACACATGGATTAAGGCAACCCTGGACTCAACTATCTGACTTACAAATAACCTATATATACCAACAACTGCTGCTTTCTGGATAACCTGCCACTGAAGCAGCAAAAGTTGAGGAAAAATTGCACTGAAGCCTTGACAAACCAACCACCATGAAAAGTTCAGGTCATTCCAGATTCCAGCCCTCTCAGGTTTAATGGGTGCACAGAGAGCATTGCTTGATATTCCACAGAAGCTGACCAGCCTTTAAATCTAGAACCAGGGTAGGGGAATGCAGCAATGAATTCAATGAATACGTGAAGTATGTTGGCCTAGAAAGCTAATTATTTACCATTATGTGACTGAGGGATAATGCACTTAAGTCTTTGATTTGTTAAAAACTTCTGATGGTCAGAAACTATGGCTTATCCACTGGTATATTCTGTACCCATAGTAACCATCTGAGAACTGGATTGGAGGACATAACCCTTAATCTTAAATTCTAGTCTGGAGACTCCCAAATACTTAAGAATTCTAGTGCCTGTAACAGAAATCAATACCAAATACCAAAGAAAAATGACTTCTCATAATAACTATGAACACATTTTTCTCATGTCATATCACAAATGTTAGACAACCCAGGGAAGATCTATCTTTTTCCTTCTCACACGGAGAGTTTTTGGTGCTATGAGAGATGGAAGGCTCCATAGTCCCTCTCTCTCTCCAGCTTGCTAATTCCATACTAACACCTACTAAAAGTACACTCTTCTTGCTGGGGATTTAGCTCAGTGGTTTTGTCGCCTGCTACGCAAGCGCAACGACCTGAGTTCGATCCCCGGTACCAAAAATAAATAAATAAATAAATAAATAAAAATAATAAAAGTACACTCTTCTTCTCCGAAGATTTGTAAACATGGTACAATAAACACCCAGCAATGCCTATTTAGCTCCCTTTCATACCTACTATTTTTGTTTTTTTTTTTGGTACCTGGGATCGAACTCAGGTCCTTGCACTTGTGAGGCAGGCGAGGGAACCACTGAGCTAAATCCCCAGCCCCCTACTGCTTATTTTTGAGACACATTTTTCAGGATCACTAAAATTCCCACAGAACATTCTGTAATACTGCCATGTAAGAGGCACAAATTGTTGTAGTACCTAGAAATCTGAATTTCAATTGCTAGAATTACAGTATCCATCAGAACATGTTTAATAATTAATAATGCAGGGGGAGTTTAAGAGATAATAGGGGATGGATATGATCAAAATAGATGCAATGAAACCTATAGTTTATAAAATTAACAGACACTAATAATAGAAGGAAATAACTAATGGAGCTAATCTAAATTTTTAAAAAATGATAATGACCTTATAAAATCTGTGGTAATTCTGTCTGGGTTGGTCTATGTCCAAATTACTTTCGGGATATTATGATTCACTTTGCTCCCCTACATGATCATGATCAGTATATGCTTGTATTTCCCAAGAATTTCTAGCATTTTCCATGCACTGTAACCTTCTAAAGGGATCTTTCTTCATTTCCTAAAGAAAGCATTTTCACAGGAGCAGAGTCAAACTGCAAAGTAAAACTGACCAAGAACTGTCTGTCCCCTTTCTTCAGTGCAGCTCTCCTTGGAGGAGCCACACTGGCTTCCTTTCTTACAGCAGGGAGACAAGTTACTGTCCCAGACTCTACTACTAGTTTTCTTTTCTTTTCTTTTGGTACCAGGGATCGAATTCGGGTCCTTGCGCTTGCGCAGCAGGCAGCGAAACCACTGAGCTAAATCCCTGGCCCCACTACTACTTTTCAGCGACAAAGCTAAATAAACCAAACATTGGAAAGAGACCTGATTACAAATTTTACAAACTGTTTGCTTCACAAACTATTTTAGGTATACATAAGTATAAAAATCAATCAAAATCCATACACTCATCACCTAATTTTGACAGATATTAGCATGTTTTCATATATGCTTCAGCTCTCTAAAATAGGAAATACTCCTAAAATATATCTAATTCCCACATAGGTTCTTGCACTTCCATTAGTACATGTATCAGCAAATAAAGTATGTAATTACATTAATACTAAACATAAATGTATCTTACTGTATATATCCTTTGCCAGCTTATTTGTTTTGTTTTGTTTTTCCCCACTCATTATTGAGATGTAAGGGCCAGGGATTTGGCTCAGTGGTTTGGCCACCTGCTTGCCAAGCACAAGGTCCCAAGTTCGATCCCTGGTACTAAAAAAAAAAAAAATTGACATGTATGGAGATGGTAAGTATAGATTTAGGTTATTCATTTTTACTAGGGAATAAGCATTCAATTGTATGAATAAACAAGTGTAGCTGTTTTCCTACTAACGTACAGTGGGATTATTCTACTGTCTCTCCATTTTAAAGAGCTGCTATACTCATCCTTGTTACATGTTAGTTTAGGGAACTGCCCTGTGTTTAGCTAGGAAGTTGGCTCAACAAAAATTGAGGCTGTGTAAGAAAAGAACACTGCAATGGCTATTAGTCCACCCAGACACCATTATTAGTCTAAACCACCATCTTCCTACTAGGTCGTGCTAAGGGAAGAACTGTAATGACTGAGAAGAAAAATATTTAACATAACAAGGGAAACAAGAGTTGGTCAATCTGTGCAATGAATGAGATTAAAGCTAATTATCTCTTTGGGCATCATTCACTGTCAACAAAATGAACCTCTACCAAAAAGCTCCAAAAAAACCCCCAAAAAGCTCCAGCCTTTTTCTTTTGAGTTGAGAAAACAGGCCAGGGATTTAGCTCAGTGGTTTCGCGGCCTGCTGCACAAGCGCAAAGACCAGAGTTCAATCCTTGGTACCAAAAAAAAAAAAAAGAGCTGAGAAAAACTATACATTTTCTTCAAATTTATAAGAACTGTAAAAAAAAAAAAAACTGTACAATACCCCTCAGAAGATACTTAATACCTTACTGATTTAAATGCTCTATTCTTGGTTCATTTAGATCATCTTCACACAGGCAAACATCAAGATAGAAGCTAAAGACACTACCGTGTAGAGAGGAATAGGAGATACAGATAGGAAAATGAATGCAATACTAGAAAGAATCAAGTCATAGTTTGTTGTTACTTTGTGATTACCGAGCATTTTCTTAAGGACTTAACAAAATCTTTTATTGATAAATGAATTATTTGATCATCAATGGAGAATGGTTAAAGACTGCCAAAAAAAAAGTCAAAAAATCTTCATATAATACAGTTGGAATATGTGGTAGATTATGCCAATTTCTAAAAAGAGATAAATTATTTGGAAGTTAGTAAAATCTTCACAGCACTCCTTAATGTGACTGAGAAAGGGGTTCGACTCCCTACTACATCAAAGCAGGCCTTTTATCCACAATATCTCACTATACTTCCTTTATAGCTTTTCAACTCAAACTTCACCTACCCCATGTAATACAGAATTACAGAGATTTTCACAGACCAGCGATATTCTTCAGAAATACCTGTAGGAGAAACCCAGCAGTTATTGCTTTAAGTTCCTGTTTTTCATGGAAAGGTAGACTAATTAATAGTACTATTTCAACCTAATCACACAAAAACTAAAATCAGGACTCGACTATGGTGGCTTTCCTAACAAAAGCCCACCCTTTCTCCAGGATGTTCTTTTATCTTGCTTTTTCCTCTTTTACTCAGCAGCCCAAGCTCACTTTGATGAGCCAGTTTCTCTCTCACTCTTCACTTTTATTCTTTCAAATAAGCTTTGCCATTGCTTAAAATAAATAATTAATAAGTAAAAATAAAATCAGGTCTCAGTGAAGTTAAAATACCCTTTGCTTCTCTAACAATCCAGGTTTTCAGTGTTTCAAATGACAACCTAAATTCTAAAAACTATGGATAAAGGATTCCATCCAGTTCATGGGGCATAAATCAATTTGAAAAATAAGTAGCTTGTATAATGTTGCTCTATTTTCTTTTCTCAAGACCAAAAGATGGAGGGAGAGGGAAAGGAGAGGAGATGACATAAAAAGAAGTAAGATATGTTATGTACATGTACCAACTCCCCCTATGAATGTTTACAAACATGCACTAATAAAAATAAAAATTTTTTTAAAAGAAAAAAAATATGTTTGTTGCTTTACTTTCTGGACCATTATCTTTCAAACTGTAACACTGCCAAAGAGCTTTCAATTTTTCTTAAAATAACTATGTTTGTTTTTTTCTCACAGGGTCTCGCTAGGTAATCCAGGCTGGACTTGAAGTCAGTATGTAGCTCCAGGCTGGCCTTGATCTTGTGGCGATTCTCCAGCCTCAGCCTCCCAGGTGCTGGGATTACAGGCGTGTGCCACCTCAACCAACTTGAAATAATCTTGAACTTTGAATCTACCAATGCTAGTCATAGTTTAGGAAGAAATAAATTTAAACTAAGTACGGATTATATCATTTCCACATTAAAATGCCCTTAAGGAATACCAAAGTTACTAGAGATTAGCCTGACATATTTTCTCCAAATACAAATATTGTAAAAATGTCTGGAAAACTTTTCCTTGACTTAAAAAGTTCACTGCTTTTACTGCTTTAAATTCTCTTAAGTATTCCTTAACTCAAAAGACAAATGACTCCTTCAAATCATATGGATGATAGATAAAGTGAATAATTGCTTTGCTGGGATTAAAGGCATGAATTTGCCTGTTGAGAATAAACATATCACACAACTGTATTCCTTCCCCATTCCCCTGTTTAAAGAACATTTTCAGCCACCAACACATGTAAGGCCCATACAGCAAGGACTTCTTTTGGATACAGCGGTTATTTCCTTCTCTGACCTAGACCTAAAATGCTGTGCCTGGATTCAAAAGTGTTCTTTTCTTCCCCCAGCAGTCCCACGCTGCTACCGACCTGCGGCTGCCCTCCGCAGCGGCGCCGTTTCCTGGGACCCTATCCGGAGATCGCCCGGGTTCTCTTCCTGTCTTCCACACGCTTCTCAACGCATCCTCTGTTCTGAAGGATCGAGGGGCACACTCGGGGACTTGGCTAAAACACTAGTTATTAATACCGCAGTCGTTTTCTTTGTCCTCCAGTCGCCTACCCGAGTTACCAAACTCTCGGGGCGCTGACGCCTGGAATCGAGGGGTACAGGAGCGTGCACGAGGGGAATGAGGGCGCTCGGTACAGGGGAGACCCCTGCAGGAGGGCCGGGGAGAGAGGGAGACCCCGGCAAGCAGGGGACTGGGGCTGGGAGAGGAGGGAACTCGGGCGAGCGGGTACCCGGGACAGCGCTCCTCCTCCAGCAGTCGCGGGCTGCCCGGCTCAGGCTGTAAAGGCAGGCGCCACTGCGCGGGCCCCGCCGCCGCCCGACGCGGGAGCCCCCGCCCCACACCCGCGCGCGCTCACCTGACGCTCCCGAGATCTGGCGGCGTGGCGCGTCCGGCGCCCGCGGTCCGCGAGACCGCCTGACTCACGGGGCGGGGCCTCCGGGGCGTGCGGGCGGCGCCCACCTCCCGCAGGCGCTCGAAGTGCGGGGGAGGAGGCCGGGAGGCGCCCGGGTGCTAGGGCGGGGTCGCCATCCGCGAGGACGCGCCTTGGCACTGACGTCACGCGGAGCCGCGGGGTGGCTGCCGGAGCGTTGCCGCGGTAACGGGGCAGTGAGCGAGGAGAGTCCGGCAATGATCGCCAGAGACTGAGTGTAAAAGTGAACGTCCCGGATGTGCTCTCTTCGCTTGGGGAGCGCTCTCCCGTCGGCGGTCGCGGCTCGGCCTGGTGACGTCACCGCGCGCGCAGCTTTAGCGCTTAGCCACGCCCCCGCGGCCCCCGGTGTGCAGCCTGAGTGGCCGGCCGGTGCTGCCCGGCGTCACCCCGGTCCGCCTGTCGTGCGTCGTTCCCCCGCCCCAGAAGCTCGGACCCGGGAGCCTGCGAGCCTCCCCAGCCCATGGTTGGGTACAAGTCCGTGTCCGTGTCCGCCCCGAACCCACGCTACGTCCTTATCCTTTCTTAACTTTAATTTTTATTAGGTTTATTGGCACATTTTAGGTATACAGTACAGTGACGTTCATCACTGGGGTCTTGTACCTGCACATGATGCATCTCGGTTCTTACTCTTTCCCCATTTCCCTGCCCTCCCTTCACCCCCTCCACCCTTCCCTGTTTACAAAGACTTTGTTCCCATTTTTTCCTTTTCTCATATTTTTTCTTTTTCCCTTTTCCCTACCCTTCCCACCTCCCCTATTCCTTTAGACCTTTTCTTCCTATTTCACATTATCAATTATACATTTTGAACCTTATTTACACTTTCAGTTTCTCACACCAGAGAAACTATTCGGTATTTACACATGTGTGGCCTATTTACTTCACTTAAGAGGATGGCCTCAATGTGCATCCATTTAGCTGTAAATGTCTCTAGTTTCTTGTTCTTCATGGCTGAGTAGTACTCCGTTTTATAGAAAAACGACATCTGATTCTTAATAACTCCGAAGTTCATTTATTTATTCCGCGAATATTGGCTGAAATTGTGCTATATGCCTGTGGAGTTTGCATTTCAATGTGCAAGCGTATAATAAAGTAAATGAGCAAGTAAGATAATTTCAGATACAATACAACAAATGTAAAGAAGGAAAAGAAGACAGTACTTTGGGAACTTGATACTAGTTTAGATAAAGTTGTTAAGCCATTTCTGCAGTGGTCTAACATTTGAACAAAGACTTGAGTAGAAGTTCTTCAGACTGTGTGTTTCTGTAACTGGTCACACAGTGATATATTTATATTTATACTTCTACTACTCATGCTATATTCCTTTTGTGTCCTGCAAGAACCTCAGCTGGTCATGGGTCTTTGTGTGGTGGGGTGGCCCAAATCTTTATTCCTGGACTGGACCATTAGTAGTCCTGGATTAGTTTTCCATCCATTACTGTACTAAAGGGGCGGTGACAGTGCTAACAAACACTGTTGTCTGCCACATTCCTTACATACACTGTGGAGTAGTAGGCCAGCTTTCCCTTGCTGGTCAGCACCAGTTGCTCTAGCTAGCTTTTAACTCTTCTTTGCCTTATGATTCAGAGGCGTGAGGAGCCGAGTGGGTAGTGCTCCTATATCAGTTCAGTGGAATCATTGTTATGGTTTCTGGTGCAGCACAGTGTGTAGGAATTTGGTACCTATTTAATAAGGTGGTCAGCGAAAGGCTTATCTGAAAGGGTGGCACTTTTGCCAAGATAGTAAAGATTATTAAAAGTTACGGTAAGAAGTTGGATTTTACACTACATGTGGTTGGAAGCCAAGCAGTACTTTTAGTAGGAGAGTGACTTGAACAATTTATGGTTAAAAAAATAAAGATAATTCTGGTATTTGTGTGAATTAAGAAGGAAACTTATATAGAAATCTTTATATCAGGAAGCTGCTGGCTCAGTTAAGGGGAAAGAGCAATGGCTTGGATTAAATGACTAGAGCATATTTGAACCCATTTGGGACCCCATTTTCTTAACTTTATTTAGAGACAGGGTCTAGCTGAATTCCCCAGGCTACCCTGGAATTTGTGATCCCCCTGCTTCACCCTTCTGAGTAGCTGGTGTTAACAGGCATGTGCCTCTGCTTCATGTCTTCTCTATTTCTCGGGAAAGAATTTCTTGACTTCCCTGGTGAAGGAGGCAGGGCATGGCAAAGCTGGCTGGGGAAGTAAGTAGGGCCTGTCAATTACAAGACCCCAGGGCAGAGCCAGATAACTCTCAGGACCCCTTATGCAGAACTACTCTGGAGCTCCCACAAGATGTGGACTACATAGAAGGACTCAGACACCACGGGGAGCCCGATATGGTGACTCTTCACGTTAGCTAGTCTCGGGCCTCCCAGACCTAGGATATACTTTTACTTTTGCTCTTTTTCTCTTTTCTCCAGAGCTAGTTTTTCCATTACCCCTCCATCACCCCTCATTTGAAAATAAACTTTTGGGACTGTTATTTTCTTGTCTCATCCAATTCTTTGTTCAAGACAAGCAGACCTGGAATGCTTTTGTTTGGTGAGCCATTTCTAAAGGAACTAACTACCTGGCAACACCACTAGGGACCGTTACAAAGCATACCTGGAGCTCCAGCTCCCCTTTCTATCCCATTTCTCTCTAGAAGAGATGTGCTGTCCTCTCAAAGGTAATTCCTCTGCTTAAACTCAAGAACCCTTCCAATCTCCTTAGAGGCTTTGCTTCATTATCCCTTCTCTCTCATGTATTTTTAACTTCTCAGTAGATAAGTGTCAGGCCTGGCCTAAACCAACAGGACAAAGCAAACAGGCTGCTTTCAGCAAACAACAGCAGCTTCTTGCTAAGTAGGACAAATGGACTAAAAATGTAGTATACAACCCCCCTGGTGCCAAGAAGTCCAGTAACACTCGAGCAGTCCTTGGGCATCTGAGTCATGAATATTTCAGCCAGATTCCTTAGACCCTGCAGTACCTATAGAAGCCTAATTCCTTTCCCGCTAGTTGCTAATACCAAGCTCTCCTGGTGTTAGCCCATCCACTCACAGATGAAATCTTTCCCACCCAGCTGCTGCTTTCTCTCTCCCAATGTCAGCTCATCCACACACAGATGTGATAAACTCGGCTTTTCCCCGCTAACTGCTAGAATCTCCTGGTTTTAGACCCTGTTCACTGGAATAAACTTTCCTTTCAAAGCCTGTTTTGACAAGTGGATTCTTTATAACAGTAATCCCACTCCTACACATTATAATTTTTTTCTCCTGCGTTATTTCCTTTGCAACCTACTTTTCTACCTCTAACTTTCTGACCTCCATCTTTCCTCTCCCTAATCTGTAGTCTCTGCTTTTTCAAGGGTACTCCTAATTTGGAATCTAATGATAGTGGAACAAGTGGAACCATTGTATGTGATCATTGAAGAGAATGAGGATGATCTGTATGTACTGATCCAGAAATTAGATTTGTTTCCTTTTGTTGGTTTTCTGGTGGTTTTTAAGTCAGGGTCTTGCTAGGTAGTCCAGGCTAGCCTTTAGCACTTGAGCCCAACTGGCCTCAACCTTGAGATCCTCCTTGCCTTAGCCTCCTCAGCACTGGGATTACATGCATGTGCCACTACACGTGGCTGGAAATGAAGTTGTTGAGAGAGGAAAAAGCTAGATTGTAATCCTGTGTAGTATTCTATGAATGGTGTATTTTGAATGTGGTTTTTCAAGAGAGGTAGTTAGGTTGGTAGATATGACATATATCCTTATCCTTGTATATGCATATATTAGCTCTGAAAGGATACATTTAAGAGTGGCTGCCACTGGGAGGGGCATTGGGAACAAAAGAGTGAGGTAGACTATCTTTTTTCTTTATGGTATTTTATGCTGTTTAATTTGATCGTATGTGTTTTTTACCTACTTATAAAACATTTAACATGAATGAAAGACTGAAGCTGGGTATGGTGGCACACACAGAGGTGTCTTAGTTACTTTCTGTCTCTGCTGAGACAAAATACCCAGCACCCAAAGTTAAACAGGGAAAGGTTTATTTGGCTCGAAGTTTGTAGAGGTTTCAGTCCATAATTGCTTAGGTCCAAGGCAAAGTGGGTTGACAGAGGGGCACTGCAGAGGATACCCAGTTCATAGCAAGCAGAAGACAGCAAAAGCAACAAGGGAGCAAGGGACCTGACAAGATTTTTTCCGTCCCTTATATCCAGGATACTGGGATTAGGGTGGTACCAAACCAATCAGTGGGCTAATTTAGTAATCACCCACCCTTAATCCTAACATTGTACCATGAAAACAATAACATTCTAGATTCTGCCACCTCTGAAAAAGCCCCACCTAAGACTGCATGAGGCTTTGGGAGGACATCTAGACACAGCCATGACAGCAATAATTCTAGTTAGCCAGGAAGCCAAGGCAGGAGGATCCCAAGTTTGAGGCCAGCCTGGGAAACAGTGAAACCTGTCTCAAAAATTTAAAAGAGGTTATGGATTTAGCTCAGCACCACAGTGCATGCCTAGCATATGTGAGCGCTGTGCTCAATCCCTAGAACTACAAAGAAAAAAAAAGATATGAAAAGAACTAAGCAAGAATCATTATATTGCATGACTTTAGAATATACTATAAAGCTGTAGTAAAACACCATAGTATTGGTATAAAAAGAGACACATAGACCAATGGAACAGAATAAAGAGTCAGAAACAAATCCAAGTGTCTATAGCCAACTCAGTTTAGACAAAGGTTCTAAGAACACACATTGAGGAAAAGATAGTCTCCTTTACCAACAGTGCTGGGAAATTTAGCCACACACAAAAGAATGAAATTAGACTGCTGTGTCTCATGATATCCAAAAGGCACTCAAACCAGATTAAAAACTTAAATGGAAGACTAAAAATATGAAAGTAGTCGAAGAAAACACAGGGAAAACACTTTGTGGTATTGGAGTAGGGAAAGATGTTTGGATGAAACTCCAAAAGTACAGGCAACAAAAGCAAAAATAAACAATTAAATGATACTAAACAGAGTCCTCTGCACGTGAACACACACACAAAAACAATCAGCAGAGGGAAGAAGCTGAGTGTAGAGATACACACCTGTAATCTCTGAATTTGGGAGGTTGAAATAGAAGAATTGAAAGTTTGATATCCACTTTTATTTTTGTTTTTGAGACAGCATCTCTATGTAGTTCAGGCTGGCCTCAAACTCACAGTGGTCCTCCTGCCTCAGCCTCCTGAGTGTGAAGATTACAGGCATGCACCACCACACCAGGCTCTCCTGGATTTTTTTTGGTACTGGGGATCAAACTTGGGACCTTGCACTTGTGAGGCAGGCAC